GCCAAGTGTCTGGTGTATTCTAACCTCCAAAACTTTTTGGGTCACAACCAAGTGCTTTAACTTCTGTGCCATCAGAGATAGTTAAAGAAATCCTGCTCAAATATAAATGCAACATTTTTATGCACATTTATCTGATTTCCAGTCCCATTGCCCTTAACTCTCACCACACCCCATTGAATTGTTTTCTCCTAAACTTGTGTGGTTTTAGATGACTAGTGCTATGTACTTACCCCTTCGCACTCAATGGCAGAATTATGACTTTTTGCATCTTTGTATCCCTTCTAGTGCTTAGCATTTGAACATAGGAGGTACTTAATATAGACACATTGAATTGAATTAAAAATAACTGAGCCCATTATTCCAGTGAAATTTCTTAATACTGTCTTAATTCTGTCTTCATAATGCATTTGATTAGCAAACGCTTGTAAACTGGGTGCAGAAACCATTGACTACAAGCATTCCACCCAAAAATATTTTGCAGAAAGTATCCCTCTTTGTAAGCTTTACAATATTTAAATCTCAAAAGCTTTCTTTGGGAGGGAGGACCATGTTCAAAAGCCTAAGAAGCCTTTTCTTTCTCATGAAAGGTTAAATATTCTTTCTATTTTGCATTCTACTTTCAATTGCTCCTTCTCTAGATTAAAAAAAAAAAAAAAAGTAATGACCTATGGAAGTTAAAAGAAGCCAAAGGAATATAAAATAAATGTGTTGGAACACCAAACATTCTATTGGTTGTTACGATAAATTCTACAAGCAGAATTTACACATATTTTTTCTTGTTCTAACTAAAATCTTTTGATACCAAAGCTCAGGTCTTCTCAAAGATTTCTCTTTTCCTAAAGCTTCCTGGAGAAGGTTCTCTCCTTGTAGCTACGGAGGCTGTGATACTTCATGCTACCAACAAAATTGATTCATTTACCATTACATTTATTTGAACTGCCTTTGAATAAATATTTATACCCCTTTTCCATGATGGCTTAATGAAGTCCTTTGTCAGTAGCACTGAGATCTTCTCACCTTGACCTTTGCTACCTGTTCAAAAAATTTTCATCAAGCTGTTTCATTTACATTGTTAATCACTTGTAGCCTCCATCAGGTCAAGTTTGTCACAGATACACATTCCTCCTGAATTCAACAGAATTATTTTACACTCATTGGGCTTCTACAGAGAAGAGAATTTCGGTGTTTGGATTTCCTGTTTTAACTTCAGAATTTAAGCATCACCTAGTTTCTGCGTATCTGTCTTTCAGTTTTTTGTACGTCCATAGAGTATTTCCTTGCTACTCTTTGTATGTGCTTACTTCAAGTTCACCATTTGACACCAAACTAAACCAAACCAAACTCACTGCCATCGAGTAGATTCCGACTCATAGTGACCCCTCCTTGGCTTATCTCTACTGTAGATCACCCAACCGTCTGTCTGAGGAGGGGCTGGTGGGTCTGAACCACCAAGCTTCTGGTTAGCAGTCAAATGCCTTAAGCACTACACCACCAGACACCAGTATCTTGTCAAAGATAAAGTGAGAGCCAGGAAATATATCTGCTGCCCTCTTCCTATATTCTAACACTGAAAACTTTGTAGGTGTGGTTGTGTGAAAGAGAAAGAGTGAATTAGTTTACCAAGTGCCAAACATTGTGCTTAGTGCTTTACATATTATTTATGTGATTTATCAGGCACTCTTAGGAATAAAACTAACTGCCATCAAGTCTATTTTGACTCCTAGTGACCCTATAGGACAGAGTAGAATTGTTCCATTGAGTTTCTAAGGCTGTAAATATTATGGAAGCTGAATGCTCATCTTTCTCCCACGAAGTCGCTGATATGTTCACACTGCCAAATTTTGGATAGCAGCCAAATGCTCTCTAACCTCTGCACTACCACTGTTATCATTCTGTTTTGCAGTTCTATACTGATGTTATATAGATTGCTCACATGCTCAGATCAAGTAGTAGGCTGCTTGAAACCTGGACTTAGCTATACCACTTACTAGATGTGTGACCTTGAGCAGGTTACTTAACCTCTCTGTGCCTCAATTCTTTCCCCCATGAAATGGGCGAAACTATAGCACCTTCCTGTATTAGTATTGTGAGGATTATTGAGGATTAAATAAGTTAAAATATATGGAGCTCTTGAAATATTTATGGTAAATGTTATTATTGTTAGCTACCATCAAGTCAGCCCCAGTTTCATGGTGACCTCTGCACAACTAAAGAAAAATGTCTGGTCCTGCACCCTACTCATGATCTTATGGGGATGGGACCTTTGTCATCCCTAGGGTTTTTGTTGGCTGATATTTGGAAATAGATAGCTAGGCCTTTCTTCCTAGTCTCTCTTAGTCTGGAAGCACCACTGAAACCTATTCATCATGGTAGCACACAAGCTTCCACTGACAGGTGGTGGTGCCTGTGCATGAGGGACATAACAAGGAATCGAACCCAAATCTCCCACTTGAAAGGAGAGATTCTCCCACTGAAGCACCAGTGCCACCATTCATGCATGATAAGTTCTAACTGCTATTTATATGTTAGGATCTCTGGTAGTGTAGTGCCTAAGGCACTTGACTGCTAACCAGAAGGCTGGCAGTTTAAGCCCACCAGCCACTCTTTGGAAGCAAGGTTGGGCAATCTACTTCCGTAGTGATACCACCTTGGAAACCCAAGGATGGGTCCTATGAGTCCGATCTGACTCCAGGGCACATAACAACATTTATATGTTATCTGGTGGCCTAAAGAGCTCTGGTGTCATAATGCCTAAGGCATGTGACTGCTAACCAGAAGGCTGGCAGTTCAAACCTACCAGCCACTCCTCGGAAGGAAGGTCGGGCAATGTACTTCCATAGTGATACTGCCTTGGAAACCCAAGGAGGAGGGGTTGCTGTGAGTTGGATCCAACTCAAT